GCCTGTCGTACGTCAATACATAAATATTTCAATTTGTTGAAAATAAAGCTTTTGTAAAGCATAACAGCGAAGAGCTACCACCGTTTTCAATTAAAAAAAAGTTAGACTTGTTTACGGGAATTCCAACATCCGCTATGAAGCCACACATTTATAGCAAATTTGGTTTGTAACAGCTCTTCTCTGTCTGTCTTAATTTGAATATCAAAACACCAAATGAAAAATTTCTTCAGAAACTTTCACCAAGATAAAGAAATTCAAAGCAGAATCATTATACAGTGAAAAATATATTCAAGAATGAAAATTGACGCAATTTTCTTTATGACAACATCAAATTTGAATAAAATTTGTTTATCTAGTCCAATTTCCAGCTCGCTATTTATTTTTCTACCTGTTCATTATTCATTCGTTTTGTAAATGTTTATTCTCATAATATAAACAAAACTTGCTACTGCGGGCATTTTGCGCTTCCTGTAGAACCTTGCAAACATCTAATCTTATCTTGAATCTTGCGAAACTCAGACGATTCAAGCGGAAAAAGCGAGTTTACGTCATCGATCAAATTTTCTGGTATAATATACCTAATGATGAGCAACCGTTCTTTGTTCGATTTTCCAAGTCGTTTTCGTGAACACGGCCCAGAAAATTCAAGGTACCGAATGTTAATTAGCTCGGTGTGCGGTGACCCGCGACGTCTAGATAGTAAAAGACGGCACTATCGGCGAGGGATTATCAGCTCATCTACAAACGGCACCCATCTACCGGAACCGGAAACAGCCCAACAACACAAGCGTTACCTGGCGATCCCTGCTGGCCAACTTATCCATAGCCATGGAGACGTTCACCAGCTAATCCTCGACTTCCAGGATGGATTCGCCAGGAGGATCGAGTTCAAAATCTCCTTGAATATAATGTTAATTGTGAAGTTTCCGCACTTGCCATGGGAGAATTTTGAGTGTGGGAGCCTTTGTTTCGATGAACGCAAGGTTACCAAGTCTGCTAACAGTTACGTACTCTAGGAAGGAACTTCGTTTTAATTCGCAATTAACAAAAGTTCACACATATTTAATATATAACTGCGTTTATGGTTTTTTTACCATTATAGTACACGAATTAAGAACAGATGGCAGATAAGGCGGATGTGGAACACGCAATTATTTTTCAAGATTTAACAGGCAACATACGACGTAAATTAATGCTAATATTGCTTAATCTGGAAGGATACATTACCCAAAAACAGACTACATACAAGAACTTGGAGCTATAATCGCGAAACACTAAAACAAAGGAGAGGAAATGTAAGTGAATAATACAAAGAATGAATAGCAGAAACTCTAATTTTAGTTAAGATTGGTGGTTGTACAGGGTGTTTCACATAACTTTACGAGGCTTGCGCCTAATGTACGCACCCAAATATACAAAAGTCACAGAACACTGGATACAAAAAACACACATTTATTTATTTAATTTTTGGAAACCCATGACAGTAGTTGTCAAACTAATCACTGTTTCATTAATAGTCATAAACTGCAGTTTTTCAGAAACAATTATCATTTGTTCTATCAAGAGACGGCATGAATATGATTCTAGTTTACCTATCTTAATCACTAACTAACTAAAAACGTTGTAATTTTTTAAAGGGTGAACAAATTAGAGAAAATTATTCAATTTTTCAAAATTTGTAATCGAGTTTGTATTGGAATATGTATTATTGATTGCATCTTACAGGCGCAGGCCTCGTAAAATTACGTGAAACACCCTGTATATTCGAAATTATTTTGATGAAATTCGCCACTTAAAATTTTATGATTATTAATACTTTTACACTTCTGAATATACTAAAAAGTTGACAATATTGTCACTAATATTAAAAAAAAAAATAGAAAAACTTGAAAACACAAACTGTTATAAATTACTTATCATCAAGGGTAAAATTTGCCAAAACTAGTTTTTTTTTTTTTATTTATAATACTTAAATCCCATCAACAAAACTGGCCTGCAGTAGTTCAGTCCTTATTGTTACAGGCAATCCTCTATCCAAGATACATCTCTGGAAGTTATTATTTATTTTTTTGTTTTTATACAGTGATATGTATACTAATATAGTAAAACAAATAAATTTTAAAAGTCAGTTCTTATAAATTTACAAATAATAGAAGAAAATGTATTTATTTGACTTATACAGGATGATTCTTAAATAGAGCCACAAAATTTTATCACAGCTTCCCAAGGATAAACGGAGACAAACTGTACCATTTTTACGTTTATATCTTTTAGGGGCAAAACATTTTTGATCCGTGCCACTTACGGCGTTTATGAATTGTTGCAATGATCAAGTACATTTTCATCAAGTTAATACCATGGTTTCCACTATCTGTGCTAATACTAATTACGAACATCAGTGGCTTACGCTTTACCTCGAAAATAACTTTAATAAATTTTATTTGGAGAACGTTTAAACAATGAATTTTTTAAATATTTTTTCCAGCATGCTCTCATTTGATACCACCAAGGCTAAAATTTTGTCGGTCTATTCAAGAATCACCCTATATTTTGTAAAATTATTAAAAATATTTTTTTATTGTTTAAGCAATAAATAATTAATGTTGGTATCACTAATACTTTTTTATTAAGTAAGTGGTGATTCATTAGTAATAAATAATTAGTAAAAACACACAAAGTGATTTTAAGGTATGTGCGAATATTTTAATTGGTGATAGTAGAGCTCAAAAGAAGTCAAAATAACTCAACTTGTCTTATCCGAATGTTTATAGTTTTCGTAATTCAAAGAATTTTATTGTTCGTCGAATAAATTTAAATTTGAAGCGCAGCCTTAAACTTCACCAACTCAAATAGTAAACAAATACTTATGATCTCTGATGAGGTTAGCTCTTCAAAACCTATTATATTGTTAAAAAAAAATAAGTTAAAATTAGTAAAAATAGGCACACAAAAAAGTATCTTTATCTAAAAAAATCATAAAATGGTAAAAATTTTGGATCAATTTATTTGTTGAAGATATCACCCAATTTTATTACCTCAAATATTATCTATTAATTACTAGATGTAAATTTTGGGATAAAGTACTCAAAATTCGTTTATATTGCATTTTTTTGACATTTTCTTCAACGACAATGTGGAGGTTGCACTCTCTACATCTCAGAAACTATAAACATTCGAATGAGACAAGTTGAGTTATTTTGACTTCTTTTGAGCTCTACTATCACCTGTTAAAATACTCGCACATACCTTAAAATCACCCAGTACCCATGTGTGGTTCGTGCTCGGCAATATTTCGTACAGTTATTAGTTTATTTATTTTGATACTCAATGTTAAAGAGTGCTTTTATCAACTAATTTCAGTAGATAAAGTGGTCTTTTATCATCTAGTGAATTAAAGTAATTTTTATCTACTGGTAATATTCAAGAAATTGATAAAATATTAAGAGTACTCAGTTACTTATTATACACGACGATAAAAATTGTTTATCTACTCGTGAAAAAAGTTTATTCGTGACTTCGTCACTCGTAAACTTAACCTTTTCACTTGCAGATAAACAATTTCTTTATCGCCTTGTATAATAAATAACTACTCTAAATATTTTATGTAAAAAAGTTTATCCAGTAGCATACATTTTAGAGAGGACTACATATCGAAATACCGTGCGATCAAATAAAAAATAAATTAGAGTAGGGGTCGATTAAATTCTACAGTTGGCAACACATTGGCTGGGAATGTAGGCTGGAAATTTTCCACACAAACTGAAAGTGAAAATGACCATCCACCGTTTTCCTTTTGTACAGCAATAAAAATTTTCTGCTCTAAAGTGAACATTATTTTATTTCACTCAAAAGGAATAAAACGCAAACTTGTCAAAGTTTCCGCTGACATTTGATGTCAAAAATCAGGATTGCCATCTGAAGGACTTTAATCACCGCCTACTCTAATTTATTTATTTTTTGATCGCACGGTAGATTTTTGTTCTTAAAACGACTATAATAATCCCAACGTTGCCATGAATGTTTTTTCAAAATAGAAAGATCTGTTCTAATGTAAGACTAAATTGTTTGTATTTGTTATAAACAAGAGTTCAAAATTTCTTTCTTCATGAAAAAAATGTTGACTCGTTATCAATAAATTATTTATTATTTATTTTGTTTTTTTTTGCGTTCTTTCCTCTTCTTCTGTTCCCCATTTCTAATTACACATTTAAATTTAAAAAAATTATTTCAAATAAGCTATGTGCAATCTAACTACTATGTAGCCTCTACTTATTGTTAGTTTCACATAAAATAATTATAATAAGTAATTTGCTGTTGATACTTTGATTGACTATTTAGGATCAGTTGTGTCAATATTTTCATCAGTTATTATTGTTCAGTAATATCTACTCAACTTCGGATCTTAGGAATATGTACATACCTATAATTTTTATTTTTAAAAGTGGAAATATCTGGATATACACTCTTTTTCATATTAATGTGGATCGAAGTAGTCGTTGAACGGGATCATTTTAAGGTGGCAATCATGCGAAAATTCAAACAATCCTAACCTCAATCTTCCCTAGAAATTATTTTCTCAAATAAATGTGTACTCCAGTCTTTGAGGTAGCAAAAATAATTAAAATTGACAACGTACCTAATTAATATAGGGTGGAAAACAAAAAGATTTTTGTCATTATTGATGTGATTAAATTTGTTCTGAATGACATTAATGACACTTTTTGTGTGAATCGGCCTCTAATTTAAAGATGCATTTAGACTTCTACAACCTACCTGATGCACATTAATATGAAATAGAGTATATATCCGGATATTTTCACTTTTAAAAATAAAAATTTACTTACATAGGTATGTAGGTAAGTATATTTTTGAATTAGATTCTTATTTTTAGTTCCATTTAGAATTTCCATCAAGTTCATATCAGCTAAAAATGTTTTTGCAAAATACATAATAAGACTTACCTATTTGTTATAATTTGAAATTGGAAACAATTACAAGCAAGTTGTTGAACAATATATTTATTTTCAAATGACAATTTTTACAGAACATAAGTAATGGATAACCGTTAGGAATGGGCAGAAATCATTCATGAAACCTTTAACTCATGATTACAAATGTAAATAAAACAGTGACGGACAGGTGACATTGATGTTGTCATACCATGAGATGCAATTGCAACAATCGTTTCTTTTATGTTCTCCCATTAATCCTGCGTTTCTTCAAAAATTATTTCCGTTTACATATGGTAAGAAGGTTTGCCTTTCTTTCTTGAGCCAAAATCTTTTCTAATATCTTCTTTCTTTGCAAAAGAACTTGCCTTCTTGTCATGGCAGTACCACTGCCGAAAAACTTGATTATACTAAAAAATACTTTACTGAGAGAGGCTGGTTTTAAGTTTGAAGAAGAGCTTTGGTATCAGTATCCATTCGAAGTGGCATATACCTTTCAGCAAACGTGATCGGCAATAGTAAATGCTAGCACAAGCCAATAAAAATGTAACCTATGCATTAGTTATTGTTCCAGCGGCTGTCATAAAACGTCCGTGGTATATTTTTAGTGTAGTATGAAACCTGAAACTGAAAACGACACCAAACTAGCGTCCATGTAGTACAAGCAACGGCCACGCGAGGCTCGAAACACGCGCGCTGCACGCAGGTAAACCTTACCTTTACCCTACCTACCAGGTATGGCGGGTACACAGCCCGCTGTTCAGTAACACGGAACGCGAGTACGAGTTTGCACGCGTGTCTTGTCTCTCGAGCGAGGCCCGTCGGAAGCAACAAGTGTGCTTAGATGTGAATTCAACAAGTCGGCATCGTCGACGATCGCTCTGTTGGTGTCAAATGCGGCAAAAGCGACGGACGTCGGCGATGTAGCCTCGAGTGATGACGGGTCCAAGTGATCGATTGGTGCTACGGTGACACTCCGGGTTAAGTGTCTTTAATGTAAACAGGAGGATTTTGTTTGCTTGTTAAATAGGCGAGCAAACAGCAGTTTCTTAATCAAACCGTACCACGTCGGAGAGCAAATCGTAGAATGTAGCAATCGAAACTGACATATCAAATGAAGTGGTGATAAAGTTTCGTTTCAAAGACAGGTGACTTCGTTACGTGATCAATTAACGATAAAAAAATGGCCTCCGACGAAGATTGTAGTAGTACCTTCACATACCCGTAAGTACTTGTTCATTTTATTTACATTTTGGTCAGGTACCGCGATCATAGGAATTCTTGCACCAACCTATACCGAACCGCGACTTCATCACCAATAATAATTCAAACAGTCCTAAATCCGAAACCAATAGGTACCATTGTTTTGAATCCACGATTCAATTGTTTCGTGGTACTGCCTTGACCTAGCTTCGCTTAGTGCACTATTATAACAAATTTGTTTTTCCGCAAGCAGCTCTGCTCGAGGGTACCACATTTATGTGAAAAAAAATGATCCACTTTCAGAGGTGGTTGACGCTTATTGTATGTAAATGTCCAAATAAAGAACACCAAAACAGATCGTCCACCCTCCTTTTTCACGCAGCAATTAAGACGGAAATTTGCGTACAACTTTTCCTCTGATCTATCTTACGGTTTATTTCCGGTCTTTCTTCCAAGATTTTAACTCAATAAATAGCAATTAATGCAGTAATGAAATGCTGAAAATGATTGAAGATGCGGAAATAGTACTATCAGTAAACCAAGAGGAAACCAAAATGTATACATACCAGAAGCTACTTTCTACTCATCTATGTACTCGCATATCTCTCATCTTTCTTTTCAAAGCAATCTGATAGTTTGCCAAAATAATTTCGAAGTTATACACCAATTGTTATTAATACTGAAAAGTACTAATAATTAATATAATAAACTTAGAAAAAATGTGATGTTATTGGTTAGTGTGAAATTAAAGAGGTACCTAGAGTCATCTAATGAAAATTATAATGTGGTTTTGCCTTTTAAATAAATAGATACATTTTACTAGTGTGGTAATTCATCACTACACAGATAATTAACTATTAAGCAGTGACATTCTCATCAAAATGTTAAGATTTTCAAGAAGATAATTTATGTTAATAGACATTAAATAAGAAGTCAGAAAATTTTGTTTTTAAGGTTAGATGAACAATATAATATGAATGTTAGAAGCTGATGAAAACAACAGAAAAAGTATATAAATACAAATTTATCCTCAAAGTTTTATAAATGACAAAATTTGAATAGTTATTATTGATATTCATTTCTGCTAATACCATACAATTATTTACATTTCATATTTCTGATTTTTAATGATTCAAAACTAAAAACACATCTAAATCTGTTAAGTGAATATTGCTACTTTAACATCAACTTGTCACTAGAAAACTGGTTGAGATTTATATTACATATGATTTAATATGACTTGTTTTTTGACTCCATTAAGAAGATTCTTGTAAGAAACTTATGAAAGTATTAATTATCAATTATCATGTTAGTAACGTTTTGCTATTGACAATCTGCGAATTGTCACTAAAACTAACACTGAACCTGTACAGTGGCAGATAATATAATTGCGTACACTGAAAAAATCAAGTAACACATTTTTTTCTAACCTTTTCAATGTGAAAATTTGTTTTTTTATGTTTCAAAGTAGTTTTAGAAAAGAGGTTCCATCTTTTGTTTACTTTTAAAATTGTGCTTTTGTTTAAACTCTATTAGTCTGCAACTGCTTTTATACTATAGCCGCGGCTATAGTTTAGACAGTATAAGAATTTTTTTGTTTTGAGTAAGTTTTGACATTTTTACTATTTGACACTGACAAGGTTTATCCAGCAAAAAATGGTGTACGCGATTTTTTGTCAGCCAGTGTACATACAACATGGCGTTTATTGGAGTATTAGAACCATCGCCGTCTCGATAGAAATAATTCTTTTCTCGCCTGGGCATTTTTTGAGTTCAACTGATTCCCGTTGGCGCTTTAATCTGGGGAAATTTTTTGACATATCCAGTTTTTTAGCTTAAATGGTTCAACCTCATAATATCAATTCTCCCTGTCGTATCTGGTTTTGTTGTATCCTTCCTTCCCAGCTTTTATTTATTGCGTTATTTTTCGTTAATAATTCAAAATCATTCAGTTTTTCCTTAGTAACCCCCGTAACTAAGAAAAAATCGGAATCACTGCTCCAATGCATTTTTTACGAAATGCCCAGGCGGGATATTGATACATTTCATTAAGGAGGCGGTGATTAGAACATTTTAGATATTTGTAAAAGTTACTATGGCAACTGATGCCTGAAAGTTGTCAAATTTGATCGACTTTTCAAATACAAAGTGTAATATTTCTATTTACTTACGGGTTTCTAGGAGATTTTAATTAAAAAATGTAGAATCACCCAAGATTAAAAATAGTTACTTGGGTAAAATTTGCTTGTTTATTTAGCTATTTTTGTTTGTATTTTCAAATCTTTGTGAAAATAGTGTTAATCTAAGGATTTTCGTCATATGACTGTTGTGAGCCGTACTGACGTCTAGTTTAAAATAAACAGATTTTTTATCTTTGAACTTTTGAAAGTGACTCGATCGCTATTTCACCTCTTGAAGTATAACGTTCTACCTTCCCAATAAAGTGGCAACAAAGATTAGGAATTTAGGTTTTTCGAAATTTTCCACAGTTAGGTAATGTTAAAGTAAACAGATAGAGTGAAAAACTTCTCGTGGAATTAATTATGATAATTGCAAGATGTGCGACCTTTAGCTCGCCAGCAATGCTCGCAATCCGCCGTCTCGTCGGTTTGGCGTTCTTCCTCCGGTTGTCTCTCCGTTAAAAAAACGACGGCTCTCAAAACCCGAAAACCTCTGAAAATTCCACAACACTAAAACGCGTCCGCTGCAAAAAGTGGCAGCCGATAAGGAGACAGTTTTTCATTGGAAATAATTCACATTAAAATGTATTCTCGGCAGTCGTCTCACGTGCTCCATCCCAAGACTGCTCCGGTTTTTGTCTCGGACCCGGCTAACTGGGATCTCCTGAAAAGGCTTTAGCAGACCGTTTAGATTCGCGCCGTCGCATTGGTCAATAATTAAGACATTTGCTACACGATATCACGTTTAAATCAACCGGCAACTATGTTAATGGACGATACTTAACCCAAGGGGAGAGATGCTTTTTCGCAATTATTTGCGGCATTTTATCTATGTTCAGAAGATGTGTTTCGAAATTGACAACAGGAAAAACGCAAACTGCGCTTACTTCGATCGTTTAGCGCTTAAAAACGTTGATGTATGACAAACGAGTTTCGTTTATTCGTGCCATATCCGTTTTTACACACCATAATAACAAAAAGTCAAAAATATGTCATCCAACTCCATAAATTCATAACAAGGATCTAACATAGCCAACAAAAATCAATCTGCAAAGCACCGTTTGAGAACCTTTGTTGCGTCGCCAGATTATTTGACACTTGGAAAAGACAATTATCCGAGTTTATTGCTTGCTTTTGTGTTCAGTATTTGGTACAGTGATGATTTGGAAATTGATGACGGAAAAAACGTCGCTTATGTCTCCAGCTGTGGTCTTAAAAACGTTGATGTATGACAAACGAGTTTCGTTTATGAGAGAGAATTTGTGTGCGATTTGTTTTTGCACGCTCGACTGAATTCGATGACTTATCGTTGAATTTTTTCAAAGGAAATTGCAATTCGAAAAGTTTGTTTAAAAATTTTTGTTAATTAGGAAGTTTGCTGGTGCGATAAGTTTCATAAATCACCTAATCACAATCGCTTAAGTATTATAAGCGATGGAAAATTGACTTTGGAATCGAATGCGTTATCTTAGAATAACAAATAATAAAGTTATAACTGTATTACCTACTGCAGTTAGGACAATAATTATGACGAATGGAAGTATTGTTTGACCCGAAATAGGAAATGCAAAGTTTCTTATCTAAAAATTCGAAAACGGGGAATCTCTTTGCAAAAGCGATTAATATTTACGACTCGTGCAGTTATTTTAAAGGTTTCTGAACCAATCAAGTCATATAGAAAGAACATGGACGAGTTTTCACAAGAAACCTCACTTGTGACAATAAAATTTAATTGAAACTCAACTCATCAACTGCTTTTTATTAAAAAAGCTGTATCAATTTCTTATCAAATAGAAAATTTCTCAACCAGGTGAAAAAGCAAAACATGAAAAAATGTTCATAAAATTACCGATATTTTGAAAAATGTACTAGTAAATCAAGTCTTATATTTTACGCTATAATATATTTGTTGTTTTTTATTCTTAGTCTAGATCTAGAGGCAATAACGTCACATTTTATGTAACGGTTATCTTGATTTAAAAGAACAATTTACGATCCAATTTAATTTAATAACAATTGTGTAATTGTGCAATAATTTACATTAACCAATTTTATGTATATTTTGATCTTATAAATTGGCTTAATTAATGTTTTCCTTACAGTTACTGAAATTTTAAACTCGATTATAAAATAATCAGAAACTAGATATTGAAACAAACAAATTCATCGACGATTTCATCAATCGTTTAATCAACTATGACGATTAGTGATAAAGACCTTCTCAGAGTATTTTAGTCGAATATAGTTTTTTGAAATTGGCGATCGCTTATCTCACAAAATCTAGTCGCACTTTAGACAACGATTAATTGAATTAATTAACAAAAATCATTATCAAGGTGATAAGGCCGTGCAATTTCACAACTACCAGCTACTAGCAGAACTCTGTAAAACATGTTAACTTATATTTTTATAAATATGTATGTGCATATTGGTGTGAGAAATAATCCTTTTTAAATCAGAGTTAAGAGCCAACAAATTATTTTATCTAATCATTGTCTATAAAAGCAGGAGTAAGATTTTCAAATAATATTTAGGTACCCATATAGAAAGGAAAGTTTGGGATTTGGTTTTTTGGGGTTATGAAAGGTAACACAAGTCTCTAAAATGGCACCAATTTTTGATTTATATCTCGGGCCATATATTTTGATTTTTCATTTCACTATTAATCGGCATCACTCAATTAACTCAAGTGCTTTCTGACACGTGCTTATCAA